TATATATATATATATATATATATGCAGTAGATAACGGTAAGAATCCACACCTTTGGGCACATAGGTCAACATTGACTGTAGGAAACTCCGAGTAGTTTTATCGACGTAGGATATTATGTATATTCACTTATATATATATATATATATGGGGGTACATATACAGGATATAGGGACATGAACATAAATAAACCTAGTCTTCCTGCAACCAGCTTAATTAACCCATTTATAGGTCACAACTCTTAGTATTTACCCTAAACAATCTAACTCGGATGAGGCGGTTTTCTCCCCGACTCCCCTTGATGTCAAAGTTTATATATATATACCTATATATATATATAAAGAAAGAACAGTAAGATATATAATCCGGTGTTCTTATAGTTACTTTATTTTTACAAAATAGTGCTCAATGTAATTTATCTGTAACCTTGGAAACATGAATTATGATTTTAGCTGTGTCAGTAATTTTAAAAGTTACTCCAAAATTCGCTTGAGGATGAAATGGAACTAATATCTTTAATTTGATTACAAAAGTAAATTCTTAGCTTTTAGCTTCCATTTTTGAAACATGGTTATGTAGCGAAAATAAACATATTTTAAATCAATTAATATATATATATATATATATATATATATATATATATCCTGCTCAACCATCAGGATAGATAGATATAGATATATATATATATATATATATCAACCATCATATATATATATATATATATATCCTGCTCAACCATCAGGAGATATATATATATATATATATATATATATATCCTGCTCAACCATCAGGATATATATATATATATATATATATATATATATATATATATATCCTGCTCAACCATCAGGAACAGTCTTCCAAACAGCATTGATAGCTATTATACTTGATAAACCGATTTACCTGAAAAATTAATTTAAGAGAAATACCTTAGAAATTCCAACCGAAAGTAACACTAACTGTTCGGTCAATGAATTCCGCAAGTTTCGACATAAGGAAACGGCTAATGGCCCCATTACCATTGTTATATATTCACTATGTGAGACAATTTAATTAGAGGAATGGATGTGAGGAAGCAACGTTGTTTTTCACCTGGCCATTACTGGTTTCTACCGCCTTCAATTGATTCCACTTTTGAAAGACAATGACTCATTTGCTGGAAACATTCTTGGAAATCGTTTTGTGGAATCATTGTCAGTGATGACGTCAGATGTTGCTAAATCTCAGAGATATCAACAAATGTTTCTGTTTTCAGAACATATTTCAATTTCGGCACGAACTAAAATATCACACGGGGCAACATCTTGGGAATAACATGCATGGCTCATTTTGATAATTAATATCTCACCCAGAAACCCACGTGATCTTATTATATCATGCGCAGCAGTAATATTATGGTACAGAATCCATTTATTGTGCCAAAGTCTGGGTTTCTTTTCTTCCAAATGAACTCTCGTAACGCTTTCAGAATTTTCAAATCAACATTTGCAGATGTTATTTTGTGCTATGCCGTCCAACTGCCTCTGTCATCGTGAAAATCTTCTCGCCTTCCCTTGGTCTGTGTTTGGCACTCAAAAAACGATTCCTTCGTAGTATAATCATCATGGCAAAAGGATATTTTCCCCATACCTAAAATGTCAACCACTTCTAGTTTAGAATTTTCCATATATTTTACACACACACATATATATATATATATATATATATATATATATATATATATATATATATATATATATATATAATCGACTCTCCGTCGCGTTCGACGTATGAGGGTCAGGCCGAAGTCCCCAGGAAACCGACATCCCGACACCGGCACATGAGATTTGATTATAGTGGTGAAGGCCTCGTGCAGGACCAGCCACACTTTTTGGAGGGACGAATACAGATAACCTGGTGCACCGAATGCATGCCACAAGGTTCCCAAACGACCCTCCGCAGGTTTTGAATTCAGAGTTGTCCTTCTCCTAGAGCAGTTGCCATCCAAGGCTATAGAACCCAGTCTGTCCTGCTATTTTACCCATAGCTGGAGGGAAATGAAGAGGATACATACCTTTCCCTATATGTTATATATATATATATATATATATCAGAAACAAAGCCATGCTCGCATATTCAATAATCCTTGCGTATATGTGTAAATAAAAGAAGTGCGTGTATGTATGTCACCACGATGATGATAAATGAAAAATGAAAATTCTAAGATCAAGGTCAGTAAGAGCAGATTAAAATTTTCTTTTTTTACCATCTGTCTCTTTTAATCTATCTCGGTCCATTCTTATCTATATACCTATCTGTATATCATACTTACATTTATATATCTATCTCAGTCTATACTAATCTATTTCTCTATCTATGTTTTTATACATATATCTATATCAGTTATTTTTTATCCATCTATCTCAGTCTGGTTTTAACCATCTATCTCAGTATGTTCTTGTCTACCTCTATCTCCGTATCTTATTTATCTCAGTCTGGTCTTATCTATCTATCTATCTATCTATCTATCTCAGTATGTTCTTATCTATCTATCTATCTATCTATCTATCTCAGGCTTTTCTTATCTATCTATCTATCTATCTATCTCAGTCTGTTCTTATCTATCTATCTATCTATCTCAGTCTGTTCTTATCTATCTATCTCAGTCTGTTCTTATCTATCTATCTCAGTCTGTTCTTATCTATCTATCTATCTATCTATCTATCTCAGTCTGTTCTTATCTATCTATCTATCTATCTCAGCCTGTTCTTATCTACCTATCTATCTCAGTATGTTCTTATCTATCTATCTATCTATCTATCTATCTATCTCAGTCTGTTCTTATCTATCTATCTATCTATCTATCTCAGTCTGTTCTTATCTATCTATCTATCTATCTCAGTCTGTTCTTATCTATCTATCTATCTATCTATCTATCTATCTATCTATCTATCTATCTAAGCCTGTTCTTATCTACCTATCTATCTCAGTCTGTTCTTATCTATCTATCTATCTATCTATCTATCTATCTATCTATCTCTGTCTGTTCTTATCTATCTATCTATCTATCTCAGTCTGTTCTTATCTATCTATCTATCTATCTCAGTCTGTTATTATCTATCTATCTATCTATCTATCTCAGTCTGTTATTATCTATCTATCTATCTATCTATCTCAGTCTGTTCTTATCTATCTATCTATCTATCTCAGTCTGTTCTTATCTATCTATCTATCTATCTATCTCAGTCTGTTCTTATCTATCTATCTATCTATCTATCTATCTCAGTCTGTTCTTATCTATCTATCTATCTATCTATCTCAGTCTGTTCTTATCTATCTATCTATCTATCTATCTATCTCCGTCTGTTCTTATCTATCTATCTATCTATCTATCTATCTCAGTCTGTTCTTATCTATCTATCTATCTATCTATCTCAGTCTGTTCTTATCTATCTATCTATCTATCTATCTATCTATCTCAGTCTGTTCTTATCTATCTATCTATCTATCTCAGTCTGTTCTTATCTATCTATCTATCTATCTCAGTCTGTTCTTATCTATCTATCTATCTATCTATCTCAGTCTGTTCTTATCTATCTATCTATCTATCTCAGTCTGTTCTTATCTATCTATCTATCTCAGTCTGTTCTTATCTATCTATCTATCTATCTATCTCAGTCTGTTCTTATCTATCTATCTATCTCAGCCTGTTCTTATCTATCTATCTCAGTCTGTTCTTATCTATCTATCTATCTATCTATCTATCTATCTCAGCCTGTTCTTATCTATCTATCTATCTATCTATCTCAGTCTGTTCTTATCTATCTATCTCAGTCTGTTCTTATCTATCTATCTATCTATCTCAGCCTGTTCTTATCTATCTATCTATCTCAGTCTGTTCTTATCTATCTATCTATCTATCTATCTATCTATCTCAGTCTGTTCTTATCTATCTATCTATCTATCTATCTATCTATCTATCTCAGTCTGTTCTTATCTATCTATCTATCTATCTATCTCAGTCTGTTCTTATCTATCTATCTATCTATCTATCTCAGTCTGTTCTTATCTATCTATCTATCTATCTCAGTATGTTCTTATCTATCTATCTATCTATCTCAGTATGTTCTTATCTATCTATCTATCTATCTATCTATCTATCTATCTATCTCAGTCTGTTCTTTTCTTTCTATCTATCTATCTCAATCTGTTCCTATCTATCTATCTATCTATCTATCTATCTATCTATCTATCTATCTATCCCAGTGCGTTCCTACCTGCCTATCTCAGGTGTTCGCATCCGTCTATATGTTTATAACATAGATATATATTTATATTTGGATATACATAAGTAATCTTTTATGTGCCACGTCTAGTGAACACTAAATTCTCTAGACCTTCTCACCCGATTATGCCTCCCATCAATTTAAGCTGACTCTTTCTGATTATAAGTATCTGTTCCCTTGCAGTTGTCATTTCCCTCATAGCTCCCTCGTTACTCACATGCTCAGTCTGCGGTATTCTTAACTTTCGCTAGTAGAACCATAACTCAAATCTCAAATAGCTTCAACCCTCTTCTTCATGTGCAAAGAGGCAATCTAAAATTCACCTTCATATATATGAGATATTACATAGCGATTCAGAGCCTTGTTTCTAAGGACATTTTCCGATCTCTCTCTCTCTCTCTCTCTCTCTCTCAGGACATTTTCCTGTCTATTTCTATGGGCAAATGCCATTCTCTTTCTAAGTACATTTTCCTCTCTCTCTCCCTATCTATCTATCTATCATCAGGACATTTTCCTGTCGATTTCTATGGGCAAATGCCTTTCTCTTTCTAAGGACATTTTCCTCTATCTATCTATCTCAGGACATTTCCCTGTCTATTCCTATGGGGAAATGCCTTTCTCTTTCTAAGGACATTTCCCCCTCTCTCTCTCTCTCTCTCTCTCTCAGGACATTTTCCTCTCTTGCTCTAAGGGCACTTTATGATCGCTTTCTACGAAAATTTTCCTTTCTCTTTTAACGATATTTTCTAATGTCTGTATTTTTGAGATGAGGTATTGCAATTCTTTATATTACTGAGACTGTTGTCCTCATCTTTACTGCCATGTTTCCGTCGTTTCGCCCGTTCTACGCTCCGGTCATCTTCAGGTGATTGGGACTGTTTATTTCGTCCACCAGGGTAGATTTCCCTAGTTCCAAAGTGTTGTGTGTTCAATACCTGGCTACAGCAGTGGTGAACAAAAACTTGGAGAGTTGAGTTAAACCGGAAGAGGCATGGCACGTGGAACTAGAACAAGCCACCCGAGTAGAGGAAATAAACGGTTCACTTCGAAATTCCAATCGCCTGAAGAAGCCCAGAGCGTACAACGGGCGTGAACATGGCAATAAAGGTGAGGGCAATAGCCCAAAACAATCTAAGGATTTTTTTTTATCTCTTTGTAAGGAAATTTTCCTATCTCTTTGATACTTTGCTTAGTTTCGAAAAGGCATCTTTCGCTATTTATATCATTTTTGGATATCTTCTCTCCGTTGCTCTTATCTTGAACATGTACTATGAGTGTCAAATTCTCCAAGTCCTCTTTCCTCATTATGCGTTCCAGAAACTTTCATCTGTCTCTTTATGATTCTAAGTATAAGCATCTCTTTTTTTTCTCTCTATTTTCCATAAAACTTCGTGGCTCACAGTATCCTCGGCATCCTTCTGTAGAACCACATCAAGTCTCTACATCATCCGTGAGGAGACTGTTTAATAATATTCGCTGCCGTATAGGAGGGTTGATTTCGCATAACAGTTCAGCACTCTTTTCTTCGTTTCTGAGGAAATCTTCCTGTGTCTGAATACTTTGCTTATCTTTTGGAAAGTGCTTTATGCTATACCAATACCTCTTCAGATTTCAGTGTCATATTCGCCATTTCTGTTAAAACAATACCCACTTATTTAAATGTATATTTATGATATAGCATCAAAATTCTGAGAAAAATCTTAACAAATCTTTCTCACAGATTTTGACAGCCAGAGTAGATTTCTTTTCCTTCCACACTTAAAGCCACCATATTGGAAACATTTAAGCAATGAGAAAAAATATCTAATATAAAAAAAGAAACAAGTTAGTCTTTCTTAGCCGGATTCAATGCAACTATCCCTCTAACAACATTTTTACCACACGCCGTTGTTTCTCTAAATGGACTTTTTCACTCAGTCAATCCAAAATGGCGTCAGTAATTTAACTCATTTTGCCCAGTGTCATTTTCTTTGGAGCCCATTAGAGAAGAAGACTGATTTGGCGCCACAAACAGATGCGGGCACCGTTTACAAAGGAGACTCACATATTCTGCAGTGTTTGTCTCATAAAACAATTTCCTTGTGCAATGTGGGCTCCATCTTCGGTACTGGATGTTCACCAGGCCTAAACGAGTTTAATAAATAACAAGACAAGTTAACAAGCGAGAAGTGCACACAAGATGCGCCCGGTATTTGTGAACACACATTTATCGGACAATAAATCGAATACGATCGATCATAGTCTTGCGCTGGAGAGGATAAAATCTAGCATTCTCGTTACCCTTTTGCGCACGTATCGAGAGCATTAACAGGACGGCTTACAATTTGACACGGGAAATGACAAAATCGCGCCGTGTTTGTTGTGCGTTGTCGCACATCGCGAATCGGAGATAGAGGCCGTCTTGAAAATGGCGAGATAAACAGCAAGAAGAAATAGCTCATCCTGTCAAACCCGACGGTTTTACTCACGGTGATTCGTGCCAATTTCGCCTCCCTTCTGATCGTCCTGTGAATTATGAAAAATGTTGTGGTACCTTCTTCTTCACGCAAAAAAAAAACAAAAACAGATCAATAACAATGTCCATCGGGGTGCCAGACTCTGTGGTATATATACAGTGATTGTTCGGGTGATCGTGTGTGTTCCAGACCCCACACCGCTTCCATAAAAGATTCTGTTTCTTCGTACTTGTACCAGATGACACAAATGTAAATGACCAGTAAATTTCACGTTCATAAACCCTCCCAAATGAAGCTTCCTGTCTCCCTTGACTTCAATCTTCTCTTTAAATCTGGGGTTTTATCGAGGTGACTAACCACTGACCCTGCACTAGCGGATACACGTTGAAGGCCAAGATCCTGAGCTTTATGAAAAAGAAACATTTGATCTGTTCATAAAGAGAACCATTTGATCTGTGCATGATTTGGCATCCGAGTCTGCATAGACCATCACCTAGCCTTAGACTTGCGCTACCGAACAATTTTTCCAATATTTTCACTGTCGCCACGGCTGAAACGCATGACCAATGGCATAATTATGTTCACCTGCACTTTTAGCATCTCCATACACATTCAGAGAGACGGTGAGTTTCAGTTTACGCAATTCTTGTCTAAGTTAAGTGACTCAGTAACATACACATGTTAAAGCCGCATAAATAAGGTTGTAATATATTAAGAAGTCAAGATGTTGACTCCAAAGGATGACCTACCAACCGACTTATCCAAACTACTAAATTATTTCAAATTATATGAATATATATTTCATTTGCTACAGCTTACTTGCTTTATGCTTTCTATCAAGATAAATCTTAATAAAAATAAATCTTAGCTAATCGTCTACACATAAATATTGGATTATCCCCGCCATTTTACTTTTCCACAGACTTAAATATCAACTGAGAACAGCTAAACAAGCTAGACGTTATTTTATTTTTATTTTTTATTTTTATTTATCTTATTGCTTTTCTTTGTTAAGAGCGTGTCCTTTGAGAACGAAGGCAATCTTGGTTCACCGCTGATTTCTTTGAACTGTGAATGGCCATGATTTCTTAGCAAAAAAAAAAAATGTAGAGTGATATCTCGTTGGTTTTTCCTCTTTTTGAAATACAGTCTGCTTCTCTTATGATGGGTCCTGCCGAAAGTTTAGAATCAACAGTCTACTGTGCTGATGAAATTAGAATTGAAGGCAGGTCAGATTCAGTCATGCTATCCCTAATGACATTTATGCGAAATGAACGAAAACTCTCTAGGACTGAATCCATTTTTCGCACCTATAGAAGTTATGCAAGGCTGAACATCCCAACACGGATTAATGTCATAATAAAAATTTTGAAGATTCGTATATCTTAAATTTATTAGGTCGGTGCAAAAATAATGACGTAATAATGTCGTTTTTTGACGTATTTTTTAACGTAGAAAAACGGCATTATTACGTCATTATTTTTGCACCAACCTAATATAGTAAAAAATATATCAGAGAACTGAAACGACAGCTATAGAACTTTGCGGTATGATAGTTTAAACTACCCTTGGAGAATCAAACATGATATGAAAAACATTAAGGTAGCAAATATTTCAGCGACTTGCTTTCTCTCGACATTTGTCTAAAATACACATTCAAACTTTCTGATGTTTCCCGCCTTTTTTTTCATGTGTCGTAACCTTTTACGATTAGAGCGACGATGACTTTCAACCATACCTCCCACTGTCTGTACAGTCATCCATTTACACAATTCCGTCAGCTAGTTTACATGCTGCTTTCATTTTCCCTGCTAGCATTCAGTATATCCATTGAATGTCAAATTCTCAAAACCCTCTTTCTTTATTATGCATACCAGAATTTTCAACTTCCGCTTTCTTATTCCAACTGTCCTTTTTGTTCCTGTTATAATTAAAACGCCATGATCGTTCACATTTTCAGTCTATTATATTCTCAGAATTCTTTCTGTCGAACCGTATATTTAGTGTGTCTAGCTTTTTCGTCATCAGTAAAAAAAATTTTCCAGCATTCACTGCCGTATAGGAGTATAAATATTACATAGCACTTCAGTATTTCTTTGTTTCTGATTTTCTACTCTATATTAATAAATTTTGTAGTTTAGGAAAATATCTTTCGTTATTTCATTCTGCCTTCGGATTTCGGTGTCACATATCCCGTCATTTATTAAAACACTTATCAAATATCTTTCTAGATTTCTGAGTTTAGGTATTGTAATTATTTGCACTATTTACATAGTTCGGGCTGCTGTCTTCATTTTTGTAGCAATATTCACGATGTTTCGGCCGTTGTACGCTCCGTCCTTCTTCAGGTGATTTGAATTTCGAACTGAACCCATTATTTCGTCCACCAAGGCAGATTGTTCTAGTTCCAAATGCCATGCGTCTTCCAGATGTTTCCCTTATCTCCCTATAACTCAACTCTCCAACTTTTTGCTCACCATTGCCGTACCCAAGTATTGAACTCACAACTCTTTGCGTCAATCACTGAATCCAACCAACGCTTTTATCAAGAACACATGACCCAGTGAATAAAAGGGTTCTTTGGATCCAGTGACTTGACCCAAAGAGTTGTGAGTTCAATACCTGGCTACTTCAGTGGTAAACAAAACTTCAAGAATTGAGTTAAAGGGAGATAACTGAGACACCCGGAACAGATATGGCACGTGGAATAATCTAGCCCAGTGAACGAAATAACGGGTTCAGTTCGAAATTACAATCACCTAGAGAAGGCCGCAGCATACAACGGCCAAAACATCGCGAATATACCAACAAAGATGAGGACAACAGTCCGAACAATGAAAATAGTGCAAATAATTACAACACCCTATCACAGAAATATAGACAGATATTTGATAAGTGTTTTAATAGATGACGGGATATGGGACGCCGAAATCCGAAGGCAGAATGGAATAGCGATGTAAATATTGTAAACACTTGTCAAATATTTAAATTTATGTGCTTGCTTGATTCTGGCTTCTTTACTCCAGAATTTGAATCTTGGAATCGCCCTTTCACGAACGACTATACATTATATCTTCTTACAATTGATAGTTAGTCCTTCTTTCCCGCTTTTCTTTACTACACTCTCCAAGAGTTCCTGCAGTTTCCATTCCATGTTTGCATATGTATTATACAAGCTCATAACGTATAAAACGAAAAACATTTGCTTCTTAATAGTTGAACAAGATGTACCTTTAATAAACTTGATTATGTCAATTAATGTTTTTTATTAGATTTTTTTT